CTTTTCTGCGGGATCTAATCTGGATCAGTCATTGGAATGACAGGTTTAGTCTTCCAAGCTTTCAGACATGTGATGGAGCCCTTTCTCAGGAAATTTCTCTCTACCAGAATATATGCTTTGGACTATGTGTAGTATTTATGTGGTGCATGGTTGCATGTGGCTTTTTAGTTGATTGGGGTGTTGAATGCAGTTGGTCAGCCAGTTATAAATCCATCCAGTGGTGATGCTGTCTAACCCACATTTTTCTATTTTATCAAGTAGTAGGTTGTGGTCTACTTCATCAAATACTTACTGAAGTCCAAGTAAATTATATCCAAGGCATTTCTCTGGTCCACTAATTTGTCACTCGGTCAAAGAATATGATAAGATTTGTCTGGCATGATCTGTTTTTGACAAACCAAGTTGGCTTCTCGTTATGACTTTGTTGGCTACTAGGTGTTTGCAGATTCATTGCTTGGTTATCTTTTCTAGAATCTTCCCAGGTATTCATGTCAGGCTGATAGATCTGTAGTTTCCAGGTTCCATTTTCCCCCTTTTTTGAAAATGGGATCTATATCAGCCCTTTTCCAGTCCTCTTGATAGTTCCTGGTGCTTCAAGATCTTCGAAACATATGCCTCAGTGGTTCTGAGATAATGTCTGTCAATTCCTTCAGGACCTTGGGATGTAATCCATCTGGTCCTGATGATTTGAACTTCTCTAGAGTGGTTAGATATTTTCTTACCATTTTCTTGCTTACTTTGACTTATATTCCTAATCTGTCTTTTATGATACAGTTTTTGGTAGATTGGACTCCTTTTTCTTCCTTTTGTGTAAAGACAGATGCAAAAAAAAGGAGTTAAGCAGTTCTGCTTTCTCTTGGTTTTTCATCATTTCTTGCCATTTTCTCCCATTTATGGACCAATCATTTCCTTGATTTTTTGTTGTTTGGTGGTGAAAGAATGGGGTGTTGTTTTACTTTTGTTACAAGTCTTAGTTCATTTTGAGCTTTAGCTTTTCTGACTTCATCATGTTGTTTCCTTGTGTTGCCAAGTCTTCAGCTCCTAAGTACCTGGTAAATCAGCACTGCTGTGATTGACAAAGGGCATGTTTTCCAGGCTTGGCTTCAATCATTTCCTTGGCTTATCTTTGTTCCTGCTTGGCCAACTATCCAAGTAGCTGTGAAATTGAATGTATGTCCTTGTTTATTGCAATGTGAGGCTACCAATGAATTCAGGTCTTCTCATCTGACCACTTGCTTGAATTTTTGCAACCTGATGGTTAGCTTCCTCCACATCTATCCTACATAGTCACAAGGGCAATCCATGCAGCGGATCTATTAAGATTACATTAGAATGCAGTAAATTACATTAGAACACAGAAGCTGTGTTCTACTACTTCCAAAATGTTTTTTAATGTATGGCAGTGTGTGCCATATAGTTGGCCTCGTATCTTCTTTCTTTTTCTTCCTTTCGTGTGGCACAGGCAATAAATGCTTGTGCATACCCATTCTGCCTGAATTGTTGACATGGGTGCCTGCTCCTTAGTTGTTAGCTTGCTGGGTACTACAATAGGTTCTCATCCTGCCATATAGTGTTCTGGTGCAACTCTTTTTATGTGACAGTGGATGGTTACTGCTGAAACTAAGGGTGGAGTGTTGGTGCCTTATGACAAACCGTGTTTTCTAGATTTCCATCTTCCTGCCTGTTGACAAGCACATCTAAAAATAGTAATTGTCTAGTCGTTTCTTCCTCCATCGTGAATTGTATATCTGTATTCCATAGGGTATGTAAGTCTTTCAGTGCATTTCTTTTGATGATGACAAATGTTGTCACCCACGTAGCAACACCAAAATGTAAGTGTGTAGATTTGTTTTGCAAGAACACAAAGCAAGTGGTCAGACAAGGAGACCTGAACTCATTGGTAGCCTCACATTGCAACGACCAAGGACACACATTCAATTTTGAAGCTACCAAGATTATTGGCCAAGCAAGTACAGTACGAAGTTATTCAGAGAAATGATTGAAGCCTGGGAAACTGGCCCCTTCTCAGTCAACAGTAATGCTGATTTACCACCAGTTTATCAGGTATTAGGAGCTGAAGGCTTAGCAGCACAAGGAAACAACAGCCAATAACTTAATAGCCAGATATCAACACCCCAATCAACTAAAAAGCCACAAAGAAACAGGCACCATATAAATACTATTCATAGACCAGCCCAAATGACACATTCTGGAAAAAATAAGTTCTCTGAAGGTAGGTTCTAGCACAAGTCTGAAAACTTGGAAGATTAAACCTTTGGTCCCAGTGACTGACCCAGACTGGTCCCTTCAACATTATCCTGGGACATGTAGGTTCCTTCATTCATTTAACTTTTCTATTTAACTGCCCCAATTTTAATTGTCCTGTATTACCTTTTTTTTCCTACTTTTGATTATATTGTAAGCCATTTTACTTTTGATTATATTATAAGCCATTGTATGCTGGGTCACTATATCAGTGAGATGAGAAGCATAAAATATTTAATAAATACAGTATAAAAAACCTTATTAATGAATATCATTAAAGCAGAAATACAATTCACAGGACAGGGAGGAAAAACTATGGAGTGTTTCAACAATGGACCTCGCTCCCCAGGCCTGACAACATCGCCAAGACTTGAGGCCATTTTGGAATACCAAAGGATGTAGCTAGTCTAATTTCAGAGGGAAGAAAGTTCTAAAACAGTGCTGCACCAGAGAAGGCATGTCTCCTGGTACTCTTCAAATGAAGGTCCCTCACCAATGGTATCTGAAACATGCCTACTCTACCACATCTAGTGGAACAGAACAGACTGATATTAACTCAAGAGTGATATATTTCCTCCATAGTGTATGAATATAGGTAAAAGCTTTGAGTTTAAATATTAAAACAAGTACTTTTTACTCTTCTGAATTTATGAAGCTTGAATATAATGCCTTAAATGTTTAGAATGCAATTGCATGTCTAGTTACTATGATAATCACATCCTTCTTGGAATTTATTGATTTAAAAGATTTATCGGAAGAAGACTGATATGTAATATGAGAAGGTGGAGATAATAATTGTTATGTAAGTGCTGCAATGAAGACTGGAAATAGCTTCTTTAGATATCTTCTTTCTTTTTGTTATTCTTAACTTTTTCTTTCTTCCTTATATAATCTTTCTTTTTCTACTTTTTCTGTATTTTTAAAATATTGTATTTTTTATAGTTCTTAACCTTAGTCATTGCCCATCTCCTTATAAACCCTTTGAAATATTACTCTTAAACATGTATTTTTAGTAGTTCTACTTTGTTGTTTCTGTTTTGATGAGGGGTAGACAAATAAACAAAAATTATGGCACATTTTTGTTGGCTCCTTTCCACATTACATTCAATGAGACAGAACATAAGTACAAAAATTTGCTTTATAGTTATATTATCTGTTTTCAGATATATTATCTGGTATTATGCCAGTAAACTGACTGGCAGCAGCACTTCAAAACGTCCTGGGAAGGCAGAAAATAGGATTATTTGTAAACCTAGTATGAATTCTATAATCAAAATAAAGTCTGAAAGTTTGTTCCTTCTTCCACTAAGAATTGAACTGGTGAATATGACTTTAACAAGCTCACTAAGCTCACTAATGGAACTAAGTCTACATTTCCATATTTACAGTGATAATTAATTTTTAGAAATAAAACGGAATATGGCAATCTCTCTAACATGGCAAGTTCAAAGCTAACTAAGCCACCAAATTCTCTAGAGCATGTACGATGTACTTTATATTAGTTTACTATTATAAAAACTCAGAAGTAAATACAATTTAGAATTTACAATAGAATCCCAGGATCAATTTTTTTTCTCCCTTTTACATATATTTTATTTAACTTGTTCATTAACTCACAGCAAAGTGCATTTTCCTTGTCAACCTCAATTTCTCATGAAAACATATTCAATTTTATATGTACATTGTAAGAAAGAGGTAATTCAATGCTTTTTTTCCATAGCAATGCTATTTAGGGGTCTATTTACAAAATTTCACATTGGAATATGAAATCAATTACAGATTTTCAGTACATCTTATATTTACAGTTGTGTTAACAGGTCAATCACATGAGAAGAGAACTAGGCTAGGGTTTTCTGAAAAGAATTGTAGCAAAACTAGAAGAGTAAAACCTTAATTTATGGAACAACAATTTTATAATGATTCGAATTTCATCAATTGTCTGCACTGCTTTATAAACAAACTTTGCTTTTAATTTGGGGGAGGCCCTCCATTTAATATGTTGTCCTCTGCATCCAGATTATTGAATAACAGCCCATAAACTAAGGTTTCACTACAGAATGAAATTTAAGAAGGATCAAATTACTGTAAAAGGAACCATCTGGACAGATCAAAAGGACAACTGATTCTCAAAATGTACTAGGATTTACAAGAGATATCAGTGTTGGTCTCTTTTTATAAATTGTAATAAATTAGTTTTAATTTGAGAACTAATAGGAATATAACACTTGTTTTGTTCATCTAGAAAAAACACCTAAAAAGAGCTACAAAATATTTGGGAAGTTCAAAAGCTAATCCAGTGGCAATATTTAACCTACTTGGACCTAGAATTTAATATTCAACATTCATAAATGTCTCTATTTTAAATTTTAAATATAATGACCAACACAATATCTTGCTATCCTAAAAAAAGTTCTAAATAACTGAATATGGTTATAAGCTTACTTCACTACACTGCAATATGGAAATGTGTGCATGAGGGGGAGAAATCAGAGTATAGCAAACTATTGGGCCATTTTTCAAAAGGGAAATATTTCACAAATTCTTTTACTGGTGGGATAGTTTCCTGCAAGAAATTATTGCTGATACAATCCACTGATATTTTCAGGATCTTCTAGACAAAGAACCTATTGAGAATCAACCTAATGTAACTTATAAATCCTTGTACAGGTTGGGGCGAGAGCAGCGAAAGAATGTATGGACAATTTCAATTTCAGGTTATAGCAGAAAATACTTACTAATTTGTTTTCCTGCATGTATATTCTCCGTAACTTCAGGCATCCTTTAGCTATAATGGTCATTCCTTCATCTGAGATCTTGTAACACTGCCCAAAGTGAATGTCTTTCAATTCTCTGCATTCTGAGCCCAACTATAAATGAAGTTAAAATCTGCATTAACAACATACTTGAAACCATTTGTATTCTACTTATTACCATAGAACTACCAAAACAATTTACAAGGATAGGGGAAAACATCCAGCAAGGAAAAGAAGTCCATTGAAAACATAACAGGCAGTAAGCAACCTGTATGTTTTTGCCTATATGCATATGCACATTAAATGGTTAGATAATGAGATTTTAACAATGTTTTAGCAGCATATTGGTCTCAAAGCATTATCTTCTATTGCAGTATTTACTGCAGTGCTTCAGCAGTTCACAGTAGCTATGTACCTCTCATTTTCTACAATCATAAAAGAGAAAGGCTTATTAGATTAACTATACATTTAATATGATCTTTAGAAATTGTCAATGTTACTCCCAAGAATGTCGTCTGAGGCAAATCTTAATTCCTAATAATAAGTTCTTCATACAACATTTAAAGCATTTGATAAAGACATCTGTTCTACCAACTTACTGGTAATCAGCACAATATAGTATACAGTACATAAAACAATAAATATAATACTAATGTATATAGATATTTCAGCTTCCATTAAGAATTCACAGTGCTAAAGTTTTGTATTAACCTCTCTAGAAGGTAAATAGTAATGTTTCTTACTAAGTGAATAATAATGCTTTTTTACAACTGGAACTGGCAATATTATCGTGATATAAATAAATTAATACTGTCTTTTCTTCAGATAAAATATAACTCCATTAAAAACTAACAATATATTATTGTCCATAGCAGTAAGCTTCTTAACCTGTACAATTTCAGTGTTTTTAGGATTTAATAGGTTACATTTCAAAAGCCTCTTTATAGATACATCCAGAATTGAATGCAGTTACCTTTCACAAGGTAGAGATATGTGTCATTAGTGAGTTAAATAATAGCATTAAGCCAATCAAGTAGTGAAATGAAAGTTGGAAATATGGAAGGCATATAAGAAGTATGATATGGGGGACTTCCAGTTTGGGTCTCTTCAGTGACAGACCAAAATCCGCGATCGTGCGCTGTTTCGATCAGTACTCGCCGCAGGAGCACCCCGATCCTTTGGATTCGGGGCTGAAGCCACCCCGTAGAGGTGGTGAAGAGGGGGGAGATTGCTAGCCAAGTGGAGGGGAGCCGCATCTCTCCTTCTTGGCTGGTCTAAACTCCCTTCCCCGAAGGCGGTTGCAGCGGTGGTCAGAAATGGCCACCTCAAAGAAGAACCTAACTGGATAAGATTGTGCAGGAGGAAGACAAAGAGGAAAGCAGGACAGACCTGGCTAAACAAAAGAGAACATCTTAGCAAGCTACCCTGAATGTAAAAGTACCTAGAGGGATACTTCTGAAAGAAGATCTTTAAGCGGCGAAGGAGAGAGAAAAGGAGGTTAAAAACCCTTTTTTTACTTTTATATTGACAATTACAAATGGTATGGAAAGATATTTATATTAATCTATTTTGACACTAATAGGCAACCTTAAGCTGAAATCTAAGTGTCAAAAGGAGAATAAAGATTTTTTCTTGGTCATTTTAAAGCCCTAGAAAGGAGAAGAGTGGAGGCAAAATGGTGGGACTTGGAATAATGGAAAAATGGAGTGCCACCTGGAAAAATAAAGAAGATTAACAGTGAAACTTTGAAAAGACTCCCAAGGATACATTGTAACTGAAATCTTATTAAATGATACAGTAACCCATGGAAAGGAAAAGTAAAGAAACAAGAAGGAACAGTCTGGGATCATTTGGTGATTTAAAAAAAAAGTTTTTGGCATTGGTTTGTTCTTTCTTTTTCTGTTTTTACTTAAAGTCAATTGGGTGGTTGTTCAAAAGTGTTTAAAATGCCATCACTCCTGGAGGAATTGAAGATGAGTCTTAAAAAAACAGAAAGAAGATGCAGAAAGGAGAGGAAGATCCTTTGGCTTCGTATTTGAATTTTTTGAAATGGAGATCCTGAACTATGAAAAGCAAAAGGAAAAGCTTCAGGAGCAAGAAGAAGGGCTGGACAAAGAAGAAGCCATTTTCAATGATCAAATAATGCAAAGTGTAGTAATAAGGGAAAAAAGGGGGAAAGGAGTTAAAAGTTTGAGATCAAAGGGAACAGCCAAAAAGAAAAATAGTCTGAAAAAGAAGTATAACAGCAAGGAGAAGCAGAAAAGAAAACTACAGAAGGGAAAATTAGAGAGAGAAGGATATAAAAAAAGGGATGAGAAAAAGGGGGAAGATAGAAAGGGAAAGAACTTATGAGGGACAAAAACAGGAAATAAAGAAAAAGGGGAAACGTACTAGGATTAAAGGTATTTGCTCAGCTAGAAAACACAGAGACAATGGTTAAATTAAGTTAAAAGTGAGGATTCTGCCAAAGGTACAAAAGATAGTGTTGTGACAGTAGAATACTGTAATGAGTTAGAAATAAAATAATTAAATAATCAAAGAGATAAAACTGTATTGTTATGTAATGGTATATTTATTTATAATTAATGCAATAATAAAGAAGAGAGGGAGACGTTGCAATTGTTTCTAAAGATTGATAAAATATTGAAAAGAAATGTGAAAGATTTATAAGGAAATTTATACCAGTTATTAGAATGAATTTGAATAATTATTTTGGTTATTAATAGTAAATAATTTATAAGATAAAACAGTATGACTATCCAATGGTATGCTTATTAACAGTTAAGTAATAATGAAGAAGGGAGGGAAACATTTCAATTGTTCTCAAAGACTGATAGATATTGAAAAGAAATGTGAAAGATTTACAAGGTTCATACCAGTACTAGAATGATTTTGAATAACTATTTTGTTTACAATATATATATATATATATATATATATATATATGTACGTATATGTATATGTATATGTATATGTATATGTATATGTATATGTATATATACATGTATATATGGCATTCAGCTTTGTTCGGGTATTTTCCCACGTCATAGTACTTGTGCTTTTAAAGTTGTAGCGATGTTTCGGCAGAATCTCATCTGCCATCATCAGGCTTCTGTATAGTGTTCATCTGTGAGTCAGGCTTTTACAGTGGTTTCAGATTTGAATTTGGGGCAGCCTATTGCTGTGCCAGAATGGTTTTTTCTTCAACCTGATTGGTTGAGAGTCTTGGTCTGTGTTTATTGGTGGAACAGAAGAGATGATTCCACCAGACTGTCAATCATTTGGAAGCCTGCACTCACAAACAAAAAAATCTCCACACCACAAGCCAGGCAAACACCTGGGCACAAACAGATCCCCCCTGATACCTCCAGCTCAAACACACCCCAACCAGGCACCCAGATGAAACCTAGCTTCCTAACTAATGATAGCCGTCCATTTACCCGGAGCCAAGCTGCACTAAAGGCCTCCAATAAAGTAACACAATGTTGCCAGCCAATCAAGATACAAAAAGAGCCAAAAAACAGACAGAAGATATTAGAAACACCAATCAAGCAGAACACAGCAAACTCCAAGACCAATAAACACAGACCAAGACTCTCAACCAATCAGGTTGAAGAAAAAACCATTCTGGCACAGCAATAGGCTGCCCCAAATTCAAATCTGAAACCACTGTAAAAGCCTGACTCACAGATGAACACTATACAGAAGCCTGATGATGGCAGATGAGATTCTGCCGAAACATCGCTACAACTTTAAAAGCACAAGTACTATGACGTGGGAAAATACCCGAACAAAGCTAAATGCCATACATGTAAGTACCCGCGAAAACTTAAGAATGAATATATCTATCTATCTATCTATCTATCTATCTATCTATCTATCTATCTAT